AATTCTTAACCTTTTCAAATTTCAGGTTTTTAATCTGTAAGATGAGGGTAGTAACAGTATCTACCTCACAGAGGTGTAAGCATTGATTGAATCAGTAGATGTAAAGCACATCAGATAGCGTTTGCTGTTGTGCTTAATGTTAAATGTTAACTAGTTTTATTTTTTGCTTGATAAGGAAATGGAAGTTTGGTCTCACTTTTGTTAAACTGTGTTTAAGTATGTCTATGTAGAAAGCACGACTGAAAAGAACTATGCCAAATTGCTCACAAGGTAGTGGGATTATGGGTCACTTTTATTTCTTAGGGCTTTCCTATATTACCCCTTCCCGTTTTTAAAAACAATCAACATGTATAACTTTTTGGATCTCCCTTTTAAAAAGTTTGAAAATAATTTTAGGACATATATAGACCTTTTTTGTGTATAAATTTATTTATTTTATTTATTTATTTTTGGCTGTGTTGGGTCTTCATTGCTGTGTGCGGGCTTTCTCTAGTTGCGGTGAGCAGGGGCTACTCTTCGTTGTGGCACGTGAGCTTTTCATTGTGTTGGCTTCTCTTGTTGCAGAGCACGGGCTCTAGGTGCACGGGCTTCAGTAGTTGTGGCACGTGGGCTCAGTAGTTGTGGCTTGCGGGCTTTAGAGCGTAGGCTCAGTTGTTGTGGTCAAGCTGGACCAGGGCTTGAACCTGTGTCCCCTGCATTGGCAGGTGGATTCTTAGCTACTGCGCCACCAGGGAAGTCCCATACATAGACCTTTTAATAAGAAATTTTATAAATTGACTTGGCTCCTCCAAATTCAATTTGAAATGCATACCTGTATTTGGACTGAATATTTTGCAGAGTGCTTTGAGTAAAAGGAAGATAGCCACACCTAATTATGCACTGGGGAGGATGCTTGTAGTGAAAGCAAAATGTGTGTTTCAGAACTGAACAATAGTTGGTACTTTAGCCTAATTGCAGGATCTTTTCTTTACAATTGAAAAGTCTAAACTTTATAAAGGATTTAATAAAAACAACTTAAACTTTTCTCCAGAGTTTCTTGCAACATGGTTGTTTGGAACAGTCAGTGGTGGTCAAGTTCTCTGTTTTCCAGGTGATACTAAGAGTTCCCTAGGATGTATCAGGTGTGGAGAAGGACTAAGCTGGTGCTCATAGTATTCATATTTGTTTCCCTGCTTCCCATAACCCATAGTTATCCTCAAAATTCAACCATAGAAATACTTCTTTGATGGACTACCTAGTAATTTTAGGTAATATTTTATCTTGAAGAAAATATTTTTCCCTCTAAAAACAAAAACACTCAAAAAACCCAGGAAGATTGAAAAGCTCCACTAAAGGAAAGAGTATGGGGTGGACTTTGGTGTCAGATAAACCTGGGTTCAAATTCTAAACCAGGCCGCTTCTTAGCTGTGTAAGCCAAGTACTTAATTTCACTCAGCCTCAGTTTTCTTATCTTGAATAGTATGTAAGGATTAAATAAGAGCGCTAATGATAATATGCCTCTGAGTACTTAAACTGGGTCCTATGTTAAATATGATACCACATCATTTTCTTTAATCCTCTTGTCAGTTGAGAAGTCAGAGGCAGGGAAGTCAGGTTGGCTAAGTGGTGAAGAGGCTAGGCTCTTGAGTCAGAGTATCTGGATTTAAATCTTAAATCTCCTACTCTTCTTGATGTCTAATTTCCTTACTCTCCATGCTGTCTAGTTTTCTCATTTCTGAAATGGGGATGATATTAGTACCTATTTCATTGGGATTTTGTGGGGCATTATAATGTAGTACTTAAAAGTGTGGTCTCTGCCAGCGTTATCCTGATACCAAAGCCAGATAAGGACACTATAAGGGAAAAAACCAAACCAAAACAACAACAGCAAAAAACTATAGGCCAATATCCCTGATGAATACAGATGCAAAAATTATTAACAAAATACTAGCAAACTGAATTCAGTAGCACATTAAATGGATCATACACCATGATCAAGTGGGATTTATCCCTGGATCGCAAGGATGGTTCAATATATGCAAATCAATAAATGTGATACACCACATTAATAAAATGAAGGAAAAATTATATAATCATCACAATACGTGCAGAAAAAGCATCTGACAAAATTTAACATTCTTTCATGATTGAGTATATAAAGAATGTACCTCAACATAATAAAGGCCATATATTATAAGCTCACAGCTAACATCATTCTCAACAGTGAAATGTTGAAAGCTTTTTCTCTAATGTCAGGAACAAGACAAGGGTGTCCATTCTCACCACTCCTATTCAATATAGTACTGGAAGTGTTAGCCAGAGCAGTCAGGCAACAAAAAGGCATAAAAGGCATCAAAGTCAGAAAGGAAGAAGTAAAATTATCTCCATTTGCAGATAACATGATCTTATATATAAGGAAATCCTAAAGACTCCACCAAAAAACTGTCAGAACTAATAAACAAATTCCTAAACTTGCAGGCTAAAAAAATCAACATGCAGAAATTGGTGTTGTGTTTCTATACACTAAAAACAAAGTATCTGAAAAAGAAATAAAATGGTACCATTTACAATAGCATCAAAAATGATAAAATACTTAAGAATAAATTTAACCAAGGAGGTGAAAGATCAGTACATTGAACACTCTAAAACTTTGATGAAAGAAATTGAAGAAGACACAAGTAAATGGAAAGATAAGCCATGTTCATAGGTCAGGAGAATTAGTATTAAAATGTCCATACTACCCAAAGCTATCTATAGCTTCAGTGCAATTCCTATCAAAATTGCAATGGCATTTTTAACAGAAATAGAAAAACAATCCTGAAATTTGTATGGAAGCACCAAGACCCCAACTAGCCAAGACATCCTGAGAAACAGGAAAAAAGCTGGAGGCATCACACTTCCTGATTTCAAACTATACTACAAAGCTATAGTAATTAAACAGTATGGGACCGGCATTAAAATAGACACATGGTCCACTGGAACAAAATCCCGAGCCCGTGCATACATAGTAAACTAATATTTGACAAGGGAGCCAAGAATACTCAATGGGTAAAGGATAGCTTCTTAAATAAATGATTTGGGAAAACTGGATAATCCCATGTAAAAGAATGAAATGGGACCCTTATCTTATACCACTCACAAAAATTAACTTGAAATGGATTAAAGACTTAAGTGTAAGACCCAAAGCCATAAAACTCCTAGACAAAAACATAGGGAAAAAATCTCCTTGACATTGGTCTTGGCAATGATTTTGGGATATGACATCAAAAGCACCAGTAACAAAAGCAAAAATGGACAAGTTGGACTACATCAGTCTAAAAAGCTTCTGTACAGCAAACAATCTGATTTAAAAATGAGCAGAGGAACTGAATAGACATTTTTCAAAAGACATACAGATGGCCAACAGGTACATGAAAAAATGCTTAAAATCACCAATCACCAGGGAAATTCAAGTCAAAACTACAATGAGATATTACCTCACATCTGTTAAAATTGACTGTCATCAGAAAGATGAGATAAGTGATGGTGGGGATGTGGAGAAAAGAGAATGCTTGTGCACTGTTGGTGGGAATGTAAGTTGGTGCAGCCACTATGGAAAAGAGTATGAAGATTCCTCAAAAAATTTAAAAAATAGAACTACCATATGATCCAGCAATCCCACTTCCTTCATAGAAGGAAGATCAACTAATCTCAGGTAGCTACACAGATACTTTCTATCACATTGTCCTATTTTAATATTTTGCATAGCATTTACATTAATTTTTTTTTAACCTATGTGTGTAATTATTTTGTCTCCCCTCAGCCCACTAGAATGTAAGGTCCATGAGAATATGGGCCTTTTCTTCCTTGTTCATTGCTGTTTCATCATTGCCTAGAATTTTGTTTGACATATGATAGGTGTGCAACAAATATATTTTGTACAATTGGATTATTGTTATTTTGATAGACTGTAAACAGAATAAGGGCAGGATTGTGTTAGTCTTGTTCAGTGATGCATCCTCAGGACCTGGATTCTAGGAAATTTTCAAAATTTGGAAGATAATATTATAGATGAGGAAATTTAGAGAGGTTAAGTACATTTCCCTAGGTCATTTAGTTAGTAATGGCAGAGCCAAGGCTCAAACCCAGGCCTTCCTGACTCTAAATTATTAATACCATAACACATAAAGTGCTTGGCACGTAGTTGCCACTCAAAGGGCAAGTCCCTTCCTCTTCTCTTAATTCACTATTCTGGTCTTTGTTAATATATTTATATAAATCATTTCAAAGTTATACACAATGGACATGTACCATTTGGGATTTATATTTTTCATGTAACATTCTTTAAATATTTTCATATGTCACTATAGTTCAGGTACTGATTTTCTAGGACATTTTGAAGATTTGTATTTGTTTCAACCAGCTTAACTTGTCGCCTTTTATATTTTATTTCAGGGCCTGGAGTCAAGTGTTAAAGGTCTTGGTATTTCGTTTACTTTGAGTCTGCAACAAAACTGAGAGAAGTATAAAACATAGATTATAGTGGTCCTTCTAAAGTGTAAACAAGTATGGTTCATGTACCATTTTGTACAACCTACACACTGTGCTAGGCAGTGGAGTGGAATGCGCGGTGAAGAAGATGCTGTCTCTGCTCTCGCAGTAGCTCAAGTCACAGTAGAGGAATCTAGACCTGACGTGCTTTGGTTTTATGTGGATTCTTTGAATGTAATGATCCACCTTCTCCTACTTTTCTCCTGTCTTTAAGATTTGTTGAAATGTCTGGAGGGCTTATAGAACTTTGTGCCCTGGATAACTGCCCTCAGGTAAACTTAGAATTGTTATTAATGGAAATGTTGTCCTCAGGAGGGTTGCAAGATGATTTGCTCGTTGTCTTTGGGTTGAAGCATTAAAACTATCAATTAATTTAGTGTATTAGGCTAGTGTAGTATGCTGGGCTTAATTTTCTTGGCCATTGTGATACAGCTTTAAAAAAAAGTATTGAGATAAAATTTAAGCAGATTGCTTTTATCTTTTATTTTTAGATCACCACACTTATTAATCATAAAGATAATACCAAAAAGTCTGATAAAACTCTGCAAGCAATTCAGCGTGTAGGACAAGCCGTAAACTTGGCAGTTGGAAGATTTGTTAAAGTAGGGGAAGCTATAGCCAATGAAAACTGGGACTTGAAAGAAGAAATAAGTATTGCCTGTGTTGAAGCTAAACAAGCAGGTATGTTAAAGCCTATTTATACGAATTTTCTTGCTTTGGATATCATGACAGATTATTGTCTTATTTTGAGTAAAGATGTGTACTGTGTTTTAGCCCTTTTATTACTGATGCCTGGGTCATTAAAGCCCTAGATTAGCATCCAGGAATATTGAATTTCTCTTGGATTAAGTCCTAAATCTGAAACATTGAATTCTTTCACTGGGCAGGGTAGAAGCCCACCATCCTGGCCATCAGCCATTGAATGCAAGAGGTATAGAAGGAACATGAGGCATGGACTCTACTGTCAAGGAGCATATTAGCCTATTTGCCATCATGTAGGAAATGGAAATAAAAATAAGCCTGTTCCTGTCTCTACAGCAGACAAATCTGACTTCAGATTTCCTGATGTCTCACAAGTCTATAACTGGTGGCATAGAAGTTTGAGAGAACCTGGGGAGTTTTGACGGATACAGATAATTCAGCTTTGTTAAAGTGTCATTTATCCACCTATTCTTTAAATAAATATTTACTCAGTGCTGGCCATATGCCAGGCATTCTTCTAGACCAGAGGGATATAGCCACATAGAAATCAGTATATAGTCTGCCCTCGTGGAGCTTGCATTCTAGTGAGGGAGACCATAAACAAATGAATAAATAGATATGTGCATAAGGACAGGTGGCGACAGTTATCATGGAGAAAATTGTAAAGCAGAATAAGGGTTAGGAGACCAAAGGAGGTATATTTTAGGGAGGGCAGGGTTTTTCAACTTTGATGCCGTTGACATTTTGGGCTTGATAATTCTTTGTGCGGGCTGCCCCGAGCATTGTACAGTCCCTAACTTTTACCTATCAGATGCCTGTAAATCCCTTCTTCCCCCATTGTGACAGCCAAAAATGTCTTGACATTGCCAAATGTCCTCTGAGGGATCAAAATGGCCCCCCCAGTTGAGAACTACTGAAATCGGGGGGTGGAGTCAGGAAATCTCTCTAAGGAAGTAACACTGAAGCAGAGACTGCAGTGAAGTGAGGACCCCAACTATATGAATATCTGGGGGAAGGACATTCCAGGCAAGGAGAAGAGCAAGAACAGGTATGGCTTTCTAGGCAAAGATAGGAACTTTGGGCCATGTTCTAAGTGTCACAGTGGGGCTAGTGGAAGGTTTTGTGCAGGATGGTGACATAATCTCATTTATATTTTAAAAGGATCCCTGGTGGCTGCTGTAGGGAGAATAGATTTTAGGAGGTATGGGGGTGAAATCAGAGACCAGTTAGGAGGCTGTTGTAGTGGTTCAGGTGATAGACGATGGTGACTTAGACCCAGTGATAGCACTTGAGGTGGTGAAAAGGAGTTGCATTTGGTTATATTGAAAAGGTGGAGCTGGTAGGATTTGCTGATAGTTTGGATGTGGGATGTGATGGGAAGAAGAGTCATGGATAACTCCAAGGTTTGATGGGTAAATGGTGGTGCTCTTAATTGAGATGGGCAACCCTGAGAGAGGAGCAGGTATGTTTGGAGGGTCATCATGGGGGGAAGGGAGTGGGTGAGATAAGGCCAAGTAATGTGGAGGGGCCAACCAGGCAATACATGGCCCTAATGTTATATGAATGACTTCAGGTACTATTCTATACTTGATAGATTGAGGAATTTGGGGCCAGCTGAAAGACAATAAATTTGTGTTAGAAATCTTTCTGGTAGTACGGAGGAAATGAACAAATGAGGGTTGACTGAGAGAGAGTTGAGACTAAAGGCAGAGAGATTAATGTGGAAGCTTTTCCAGTAAACCAGGCTAAACCAAGACAGTGTGTTAGGGATATGAAAACCAGAAAGAGTACACTAAATATTCACTAAGATGATTAAATGATACAACTTGGTTATTGGCTAAAGCAAAGGGAGGATTCTGACTTGACTCTTGGGTTTCTAGCCATCACTAAGATATAGAATAGATTTTATGTAGGGAAGGGGGATGGCCTTATTCTAGTCATAATTTATGTTTTGCCTACATATTAAAAGAGATTTAAGGGAATTTCCTGGCGGTCCAGTGGTTAGGACTCGGTGCTTTCACTGCTGTGGCCCAGGTGCAATCCCTGGTCGGGGAACTAAGATCCTGCAAGCCGTAGGGTGTAGCAAAAAAAAAAAAAAAGAGAGAGAGAGAGATGTAAAATAGTTAACAATTAAACATATGTTTAATAAACCCATTAAAATAGGAGATGAAAATAAATATACTAGAAACTTTGGCCAACATTGTTACTCTAATTAAACATGAAATTTATCTTTGTACTTCCTGGAAAGCAAGACAAGAAATGTGGGAAAGAAGGGGTTATATAATTCTCATTGTTTGTTGAAAGGAAACAAACCAGCTGTCAAGAGGAAAGTGACTTTTTTTCCTGGAACTAAATTGTGTGGGCACTTATACAAGAGACATTATTACATAATGCCATGGACAATTCAACAGAAAACGTAGAGATGTTTTTCATGTTACTGTTTCTTAAGCAGACCCTTAATTAAAGCAAGAGTAAGGGTTTTTAAAAGAAAGGGCAGCCTGAGTCCTCACCTTATTGGCTTCGTAGCATGTCACTGTGCTCAGTGTAAGGTGAGAAGAGGATGTGTACACCTACCCCAGCTCCAGTAGACTGTGCTGCCCTGCAAGTCCTGTAAGCCTAGGAGCTCCATGCAGGTGTCTTTTGGATGCTGTCTGGTGTCATGGGCTGCTCCTGTTGTCTCTTCTCACGTGAAGTGCCCTTTCCCTTCTTGAGAACTGCCTCTTACGGTCACTCAGATAATATAATGAGAATGGTGCCTCCTGGAGTTGTAGGATATGGAAGCCTTATTTTCTCTTAACATATACAAATTTAAGACTTAAGTCACTCCTGGAATGTTTCTAGCCCACTCAGCTCATAGTAGTCATTTTCTCCTTTGGACCATTTAATATTCACTTGAGGGGAATAATGTAAAGTAGTGATAAAGAACTGTGGCTTTGGAGTCAATCCCAACTCTTCCACTTGCTAGCAGTGTGATATTGGGCAAGCTACTAAACTTTTTTAAACCTCAGTTTTCTAATCTATAAAGTGGGGATATTGTTAGTGTTTATAGCAGTGTTTTAGCATAATGCATGTATGCATTTGGCACATAGAAAGTGCTCAATAAATATTAGTTGTCATTGTAATGATTATTTCTAACTTTTCATTCCCTGTGTTGAACTTTTGCATTGTGTTTTTACTTTTTTCTAATTGAGGTATATTTGACACACAACATTTTATTAGTTTCAGGTATACAATGTAATGATTAGATATTTGTATGTATTGTGAAATGATCACCACAGTAGGTCTAGTTAACATTCACACATAGTTACAAGATTTTTTTTTCTTGCAGTGAGAACTTAAGATTTACTCTATAGCAACTTTCAAATATGCAATACAGTATTATTAACTATGGTTGCCAGGCTGTGCATTACATCCCATGACTTATTTAGCTTATAACTAGAAGTTTGTACCTTTTGAGTCCACCCATTTTGTCCACCCCGCAACTGTTTTTACTTTTTACTTGGCTTCTAGTCAAGTTTTACATTTTCTGTGGGCACTCAATAAATATTTGTATTTGACCGACTTTGAGTTTTTGCTTTAAGACATAACACTAACTAGTTACATATAACAAGTTAAAAAATGACAACCATGAAACTATAAGGCAGCTTTGTGACTTTTCCAGGGGACTAATTTCTGAACAGTCTATACTTGGAACAACTTTATAATGTTAAGGAAGCATTTAACTTTGTTGATGGAGCTAACCAAATGTTACCGTCCCACATACTTAGGGCTAAATGCCTGGGGTTTAGTCAGAAAAAGGAAAGGTTAAATAACGCCATATGGGCAAGCTCGTATGTAATATCTCTGATGACTGAGAGCTACTGGAAAAAGTAACATTTTCCAGGGGTGCAGAGGAAACATTTTTATACTTCTTGCTATTACAAAGTGATACTTTTCCTCTTGCTCCTTTCTCTGTACGTTAAAGTTTAATTCTAACCTCTTTTTTCTCTTCATATTTGCTATATAAACTTTGTATTAGTTACCTATTGCTGTGTAACATATTAACCCTAACTTAGCAACTTAAAACCACAAACATTTTATTCCCTTACATAGTTTCTGAGGGTCAGAAATCAGGGAGTAGCTTAACCAGCTGGTTCTGGGTCAGCGTCTCTCATGAGGTTGCACTCAGGGTGTTGGCTGGGCCTGCAGGTTTGGCGGGACTGCAGGATCTGCTTTCAAGCTCCCTCTCTTGGTTATTGGCAAGCTTCACATTTTTGCTGGCTCTTGACCAGAGGCCTCCAATTCTCCCCATGTATACCTCTCTGCAGTAGTGGCTGCGTGCAACATGGTAAATGGCTTCCCTCAGAGAGAGCAACCAAGATGGCAACCTCAGAGTCTTTAACAACCTAAGGTTGGGTGTAGCATACTGTCACTTCTGCCATACCAACCCTGGTATCCTGTGGGAGGAGAGAACACAAGGATGAAAATACCAGGAGGTGGGGACCATTGGGAGCCATCTTGGAGGCTGGCTACCACAGACTTCGTCTGTTAGTAGAACTTCAGCTGTTGTCATGTTATGTAACCACTCCATATGTGATGGCTTATCTTTTGGGTTTTCCTGTATCATTTCAAATTCCGATTGTCTGAAACTAAATTTATCATCTCCCTTCCCATGCCCTTCTGACTTTTTTAAGTGACTTAGGTTTACAACCTTGAAGCCATTTTTTTCACTTTTCCTTTCCTTCGTATCACTGTTAAGGTCCTAATTTTATATTTTGTTCCCTCAGTACCTCCCGAATCATCTTTTTTATATTCCTATGGCTGTCATCCTAGTAAGTTCCTTACTGCTTCACACTCACAATTAGAATAGCTGCCTGGTTAGTAGCCTGGCTCTGAATCTCTCCTTTCTAGTCCATTTTATATGCTTCTATCAGACTAATCTTCCTGAATCCTGACTCATTATGTCATACCTTGTGATATGTCCATTAAAATTCAGATAATTTTTCTCGAGATCCTTAACCTCTTGGGTGTATGTAATAATATTGACAAGAGGGCTTTTGTGAGAAAATCAATCCATTATGTACTCAGACTTATTTACGACTTAAAAATGATCTTGAACATTACAAGATGATGAAAAGTTTATTTTTTTAAACTTTTAAATTTAAACAGTAAGGTTTGGGAAAAAGTTACAGTCTGGTTTAATTTGGGGGGACAAGAAATATTTGAATTGTTTTATTGATGGATAATTGCTATTACAGAAATCAAAAGATTTTCATAGCAACAATGAAGAAGAGACTGTTTTTTTTTTTGTTTTTTTTTTTTTTTGCGGTTCGCGGGCCTCTCACTGTTGTGGCCTCTCCCGTTGCGGAGCACAGGCTCCAGATGCGCAGGCCCAGCGGCCATGGCTCACGGGCCCAGCCGCTCTGCGGCATGTGGGATCTTCCCAAACCGGGACACGAACCCATGTCCCCTGCATCGGCAGGCGGACTCTCAACCACTGCGCCACCAGGGAAGCCCGAGGGATGTTTTTTCTAGGCCCACTTTTCACTGAGGATGTCTCCTGCTGGGGCCCAAAGTCTTGTCTTCTCTCCCTGCATATCCATAAAAACCCAAACCCCTTCAGGTTGTGGAGATGGGCAGTGACACCCACCCCCCCCCCTGCCCCCCTGATGCTCCCTCTACCCCCTCAGCCCTAGCCAAAGCCTGGGCAGCTGCTTACTTCTCTGCTTTTAGGTTCTTCCTTGGTTATTGGTTCCTGGGATCTCTCTTTCTTGACCTTATAGAGCAGGAGGCTTTTGGGATCATGTAGTTTGCCGTACCGCTGGAAACAAAAGTTATAATATTTTTCAAACTCGATGAATGTAACAGTTTTTCACAATTCTTAGGAATGTACCATTATTTTGCCATTAGAGAACCTTATATGATAATCCGTAGGTTCATCAAGAAGAAGCTATTTCTTATTCCTGAAATAAGACTCCAAAGTTGAGTTTCTGCCCATTGAGCACATTACCTTAAAGATTAAAGTCTGGATTTTAATTTGTGTGACTTATTCCCAGTTTAACCCCCCACCCCCCACCCTTTGCCTTTCTTCTTAGGAGAAACAATTGCAGCGCTTACAGATATGAGCAGCTTGAATCGTCCAGAATCCGATGGCCAGATCACAATTTTTACAGATAAAACAGGAGTTATAAAAGCTGCAAGATTACTTCTTTCTTCAGTGACAAAAGTGTTATTGCTGGCAGACCGAGTAGTCATTAAGCAGATAATAAGGTCAAGAAATAAGGTACTTACCTTTCTAATGTTTCTACTTGTGTCTTTCAGGGTTGTTCAAAAAGTTATTTCTTTTTTTTTTAGGTTAACTGCAGGTAATTCAGCAATGCTTATCTGTTTTAATTGTTTATTATTCTAATTGTCTACAGTTTAAAAGTGATGCTTCATCTATACCTGTAATTCCTAAATGTATATACTGGGCTCAAACTTTTGAATGCAAATAACATTTCTTCTCAGAAAACCATTATCTACTTGTTGAGGTTTATTGGTGAAAACTTTTCATGTGTACAAATATGGGAAGAAAAGCTGAACACCATGACAATGTATGTAGTAGAAACCTAGCTGATAAAAATACTGAATTCCGGGCTTCCCTGGTGGCGCAGTGGTTGAGAGTCCGCCTGCCAATGCAGGGGACATGGGTTCGTGCCCCAGTCCGGGAAGATCCCACATGCTGCGGAGCGGCTGGGCCCATGAGCCATGGCCGCTGAGCCTGTGCGTCCGGAGCCTGTGCTCCGCAACAGGAGAGGCCACAACAGTGAGAGGCCCGCGTATCACAAAAAAAAAAAAAAAAAAAAATACTGAATTCCTCAGTGCCTTTTTTCCCCCAAGTCAGACAGTAACAATTTATATGCTTCAGAAAAAGCTCAATTACCTGAAACCACAATTATCCACATTATAAAATTTCTGTATGCAAAGTTCCTAAATATTACTTAATAATCGTAAAATTTAGAGAATAGATTTTAACTCTTCCAGTCTAGACTTCTTTCAGTCTCTCAGATAATGGCCATGCTTCTCCGTCAACAGGGAAGCCAGGGTGTGTACAATTATTTATTTATTTATTTATTTAGCTGCGAGTCTTAGTTGTGGCAGGCGGGATCTTCGTTGTGGCATGTGGGATCTTTTAGTTGTGGCATGTGGACCTCTTAGTTGTGGCACGCAAGCTCTTAGTTGCGGCATGCATGCGGGATCTATTTCCCTGACCAGGGATGAACCCAGGCCCCCTGCATTGGGAGCGCGGAATCTTACCCACTGGACCACTAGGGAAGTCCCAATCACTTCTTTCCCTGGATAATCCCCTAGGCAAAGAGGAGGGCAGTCAGCCAGGGAAGGGATCCTCCCACTGATCTGAGGGCAAAACTACCTGGCTAGTATTGAGTGAACTGAAAAGTGTAAGTTTAAAGAGAAAAAGAAATTGGAGTGGTGAATCGGACAGTGCTAGAGGAATAGGAACAAACCTTCCTCTCTTTGGAAGACGGAGGTTCTGCTCAGTGGTGGCAATCTGCCTTATCTACGTTAATTGCCTAGGCTTCCTGAGCTGCTGGGGCAGATTAACATGCCAAATATCCATCATATCCTCATTAAAAATAAGTAAACACAGGCTATCTGTGTTTTCCTTACCTATCTTGGTCTGACTAAAACTAATCCAGTACTGTTATTTTAGAGAAAAGTATTTGAAAATATGTTTCACATCTATTTACTTTACTTCTAAATATCAAGAAAATACATAACGTTCTCTGTTGGCTGTGTTACAAACATGCTCTCTATCTACTCCTCGCTGCCCAAAGCTTCTTGGCAATTAACTGATTGACCACAGGCAGTTTCTGACTGATGCAAACTTTTCCTACTCTTGAAGTCCCTAATCGCCCTTTCCACTCCTTACTATGCGGGTGACCTTCCTTCCATTTTTCTGAGGAGGATGGGGTTCCCCCAGTTCTGGTTCACTGAACCTTAAAGCTTCTGTGTATCATCTTTTATCCTCATCCGCCTCCTACATCTATGAAGATTTGATTACCTTAGTCCTGCACGTTCCCGCCTTCTCCAGACCTTGCTGCATAAATGATCTCTTGCATATTTAGTCATTTCCTTTACTTTTTCCTTTAATTTTCAAGTAAGCCCAAGTCTTCCCATCCTAAAAAGAAATCATTCCCTAGATGATTCTAACCTTTGAATCTGCATCTACTTCTCTGTGTCCTTTCTTCTCTGTCTTTTCCTCGGACTCTTTCTCAACTTCCCCCTAGAATTTAGAACTTCTCTTTTGTTCCTCTCTTGGCTCAGGTTTGATGTTTCAGTCTGTTTCACATCTAAACCTGATAATAAAATAATGTCTGTTTTGCAGGTTCTTGCAACTATGGAAAGACTGGAGAAAGTGAACAACTTTCAAGAGTTTGTCCAAATATTCAGTCAATTTGGAAATGAAATGGTGGAGTTTGCACATCTTACTGGAGATAGACAAAATGTATGTGTTTACAAAATCTTGAAATACATTTATACTTTTCAATTTGGATAGAGGTGTGATCTTTGTGATCATTTGGGTTGTTTTTTTTGCTTATTAAATCTATAACCTTGCTCTTGAAAGCCTTTCATAAATAAGCCAGGATAAAGTAAATAGATCTGTATGCCTTTTTTTGCTCACAGGTAACAGTTAAATATTTTCCCACCTCACACACTGGGAAAGGTCATACTTGCCTTCAAGCCCCAATTCAAGTGCTTCCTCTTTCACAGAACTTTCCATTTGACTCTTCTACAAGGGCTCAGGCAAATAAATGAGTCATCATACATATCCTCATAGTATTTTGTTATATATCTCTTATTATTCTTTGTGTAATTTGTTATATATTATTCTGTTATTATATCTTTCTATAATTGTTCTATATTAGATTAATAGTAATAACCCAAGCATTGGGTGATCTGCATTGGCTATATGTTAGCTACTTAATATTCATGATTTCATTTAATTCTCAGAACATCCGTGTAAGGTAGATATTGTTATTACTGTTTCACACGTGAGGAAACTGAACTTGAGAAGATAATAAAGTTTCCCAAGGTCACTTTTCTAGCAGGTTGAACTCAATTATGTCTGATTCTAAAGCCTGTAGTTTTCAAACCGCACCATGATATTAGGTCTTTGTAGGTCTGTTCCCCAATTCAGACCGTAAGTTCTGAAGTTTAGGGAGGTGGAAAACCATGTCAAATCCAGGATTGACTTTTTCTTGTTGTTGGGGTACTTGTGCATGTATTTATCCTGTCAAGTTAAATATATAATTGATCACTTCTTGAGATGCTTTGGTATAGTCCCATAGGCCATGGTTTGGGGCGTGAACTTTCCTGGTTGTAGCTGGAGTTGGAAGGTGGGTATTGGCCTGGAAAGTGGCAGGCTGGATTATATGCTTCACTTAGTGCTTCTTGGACATCTGGGTTTAATGAGGCCTATGTTTCGTCCTGTGGACCAGCTCTCTAACAGATTGAGATGCCACCTTTTTGGATCACTTGCTATCACCATACAATCTACGGTGTAATGTATGGCTTACAAGTGTTATGTATACACACTTGATGCATTGTCAACTAGACCCACAGGTTTTTTTGCTAGAAGTCCTGTCCAGTATGTTAAAGACAAGGAATGGATGGAAATTTTCGAAGTGACCTCAACCTTTATTTTTGAAAGATGCTCCTAATGGATGATAATCACATGTAGGATACAGTCCTTTGGAATGTTACCTTGTGACCTGAATTAGCTTTGGAGTTTTTTGCAGTTTCTCATTTACTAGATGTAACTTTGCTTCTTTCTTTCCTATTAAAGAAAGCTGTATTGGGATGCAAGTAAATGAGAGTGATATTATTACAGGGGTAACTTTGAATCCACTCCCATTTATTAAAACAAATAAAAGGAAATCACTTTTATACTTTAGGTCCTTGTTATTTGTAAGAAAAGCCTTTTCATCCAACTGACAAGTGAGAAAAAAAATTGACTAATATGACAGGTGAAAATTTTATGTAATCCAGATTTCATCATCCATAAGTAAAGTTATTGGAACACACCCATATTAATTTGTTTATGTATTGTCTAGGGTAGCTTTCATGATACACTGGCAAAATTAAGTAGTTGTTTCAGAGACCAAATGAACCAGAAAGCCTCAAAAATTTATTATCTGGCCTTCTATTGAAAATTTTTGCTGACCCCTGATTTAGATGGTTACCAAACTATTATGAGAGTATTTGGTTGTAGATTTAATCAGCAATATTTGGAGATCTTCTGTGATAGCACACATTCATATCAAGGGCTATATGAAGAGAAACCAAATGAAAAAAAAAAACAAACCCAAATACAGTGCCTACTTCAGAGTTTATATTCTAGTTGGGGAAAATTATATGCCCAAGAAACATCTTAAGAACATTTTAGAGCAGCATATTGGCTAAGTTTAGGATTAAAACAACAACAACAACAACAAAAAACTTGAGATGAATATGCACTTAGATGGGATTAATCACATGATCCCTGAAAGAGTTGGCTTTAAGTGTCTATTTTGAAGGAAATAATAGTCCACAAATGCTCAGTAAATAAGTCGCTTTTAATTAAGTAAAGCATAGGATGGTTGTTTCTGGTTGGGAATGAGGTGTGTTTACATGGGCAGAATGTCAGGTGTGCAGGCCACCAGAACATGAGCCACATGGCAGCCTCTCGCTAGGTCTCAGTTCCTGGCTGTGCTGCCCTTAGTAAGGGCAGCTGTTTCTTTCTACTCTATTGTGTTGATACATTTACACTAAAGTGGTGACATTTTATAAAACATTTATTCTGGGTTTTTTTCTACTTTGTCACTTTTTTAAAACAATGTTACTTAATTGTTGAGTATTGCTATTATGGAGTAAATTATTTCTCAAAAAATTGAGTTGTTTACATGATCCTAGACTGCTCAGTGGTTTTATTCCATGTTTAGGATTTGAAAGATGAAAAAAAAAAGGCAAAAATGGCAGCAGCTAGGGCAGTTCTTGAAAAGTGTACAATGATGCTTCTCACAGCTTCAAAGGTAAGGAAATTTTTGTTTTACTGTGTTGTAAATTAATTAAAAAACCTGATTAAATGCATCTAATTTATGTATTTTACACATTAAAAAGATGAAAGTGATAAATTGGAATATGGGCTATAACAGTTAAATTTCAGTTATTCTTTAACAAGAATGTTAACTTCCATCCCCAGTTCCAAACATCAGGTAATCTATGAGTCAGCTTTGAGCAACTAAGCAGAAAATGGCTTATTAAGTGCTGTGAATGGAGGCCTGTCACACACGGTCACTGCCTGTGGGGTTTTGCTAGTCTCATTGGGGAGCCAGCACATGTGCTCTAGAAAAAGCTAGGCAAGTTAGAATCTGTTAAGTAACAGTGGAGTATTAAGTCAGCCCTTAGCTTGTTTATTCTGTAAATTCATACCTCTGAGTCCTTATTCTACTTTTAACAAAATTGTCAATCAAGAGCTCGTAATTTCAAACAGCAGTCGGCCAGCAAATTGGTACAATTCAAGAAAGAACTAGTAAACATCTCATTAGCAGTTTGTTTAGGATTGCCTTTTCTGCTCGGAATATTGCCTCGATGCTAGGATCAGTGAAGCCACAGAAACAGGATTCACGGGAGTCTGCTTGGAAGGCTCTGTTCATAGCTAGGCCCTGGAGTAGTTTTTCCTTTACATCATTTTTTAAAAGTCAAAGATGCATCCACAGTCATAAGACATCTGTTCATTTTTCCTCATTCTTTTTTTAGCTCTTGCACATATTAGGCAACATTTTAAAAGTTTTAATCCTGATGAAGATATAGGGTTGTTGTTTTTTTTTCAAAAATTTTAAGTAAACATACTAAAGTATAAAGATACAGTTTTGCACTCTGCCTTTTTCACTTAACCTTGCTGTCGCTTTTTACTCATCCTACTTCCACTTTTAGTGAGGAGAAGCAGCTGGGTGAGCCAGGGACACGGGAGATTTTGGTAAAGAACCATTTTTATTAGCATGGCATATTCTCTGTAAGATTTTGTGTATTATGATATGGGCCAAATCTTAACATAAAAATTTTCAATTGTTTCAAAGACGTGTCTCAGGCATCCCAACTGTGAATCAGCCCATAAAAACAAAGAAGGAGTATTTGACAGAATGAAAGTGGCATTGGATAAGGTAATTGAAATTGTGACTGAATGCAAACCAAATGGAGAGACTGACATTTCATCTATCAGTATTTTTACTGGAATTAAGGAATTCAAGGTAAGAATAGAGAGAATATATTTTGTTTTTTTCTTGCCATTTCAAAGAAGCATCATTATATGTAGTATCCGTAGTTTTGTTTAATATTTTAGAATAGATGCTTCACAAAGGCAGATATTTGTCTTTAAAACAGTGCCACAGTGTACAAGTAACATAAAGCTTACGGTAGTTTGTACAGAGAACACTGGTCTAGGGTTATAGTAGCTGCTCTGGCCCTGTTTAGCTGTATGGTTTAGCTGTAGCCTCTTGTCCTCTGTTTAGAAGTGTTCCCTTCCCAGCTCTAGAGCAATGCCATACCATCATGGATGATTACAGACAGCAGATCTGGAATCTGCTGGAATCCCTGCTCTTCCTTGTGCTATGAATAGATACTTTGAGACTGTAGTAATAGTGATAGCATTAATGATGCTTGAAGATTTTAAATGAACAATAATACATGCTAACATTTATCAAGCACTTATTCTGCGCCAGCTCTGTGCTTTAAATGTGCGTGTGCGTGCGTGCGTGCGTGTGTGTGTGTGTGTATCTCAGTCTCACAAGAACTATTATTATTATTCCCATTATACTGTTGAGGAGACTGAGAAACAGAGATTAAGTAACTTGCTAGCTAGAAAGCACCAGAGTTAGGATTTGAAAATTGGCAGCCTGACTCCAGAATACCCACCGTTTCAGGGCAGAACTCATCACAACTCAGAGATGGTGACAGTGCTCTTTAGTAGGAGTGGTGTCTAGTCGGGAAGACCCAGGGAATTGTCTAACACAACTCCCTCATTTAATACGTGGGAAAACTAGGGCCCTGAGAAATTCTCTAATATGCTAAGGGTTACCTCCCTTTCTAGTAGCCAGGGCTGTGACAGGGATGGTATTCTTTCCATCTAAGTAGGAACGTGGGGTGGAAGAAAGTAATGGAAAGAACATTTATTTTTAGGCATCATGCTCTCTCAATAAGTATTTTCTCATTTAATCTCTAACTTCCCTTTTAGATGCATATTACTATACCCATGTTTTTGAGGAGGAAAGCTAATATGTGGTAGAACCCTTGTTTAGAACCAGGACTTTCTGATCCCAAAGTCCATGACCTTTCAGTTTATATGCTGTCTGTCCTACCCCACATCTCCTCCTGAGGGGGAGGAAGCTTACAGGGACCAGTCATTCTTTCAGAGTTTTTATTACTGAAAGGAATCTTAGAGATAATTTTTCTAATTCTCTCATTTTGTTAAGGCTGAAGGGATAGATATCAAAGGTCAAAGGATAATAAGGAAACAAGTAGGGGTAGAGCCAGGTCTTTGGCCTCTTGACGCTGCATTTCTGGTTCCAGGCTAACTGAGGGCAGCGTGGTGCCTGTGGCCGCTGCTGGCAGCTCCAGCTGCTGATCTCTTCGCCAGCAGGCATTCTGCAGAGCAAAGCGATCATGAATAGACTCAGTCTCACTGTCAGTGGTTATCTTCTTTGCATCTGTAGAGGGAAACTGGATACTTTATTCGTTACTTCGAATATATGAACAGATCTTATGAAAATATGCAAATAAGTGGCTTTCAAAAAAAAACTCTACTAAGTTGCTGTTTAAAAACATATATATGTTCTCTTTAAAGGAAAATAAAAAAGTTTAACATAAATGGTATGTGGACTGATTTTTACGTTGTAATTCTGTTTAAATCCTCACATTCTTAGGTTCTCATTGTCAATTCCATACCTCACTTTTATCCATGTTCTTTCCTAGCTTAAAAAAAAAAGAAAAATCCTGTCTCCATAGAACAGAGTGATTACTGGAGATAACTTGGGCCAGGAGGAGAAGGGGAAGGTATTACTTCCCTGTGGCCTCTCAACCTTCCCAAATCTTGGTATTTTCAGGGATCATGTTAAAATGGGTCATATGTAAGGATTAATTTGGAATGATAGTTGTGAAAGGACTTTAAAGTGTGAAACAAATGTAAGTTATCCTTATCAGAGCAAGAATTGTGCCCACAATCATGATCATCACCACTTACTGCCTCTCAGCCCAGGTTGTTTCTGTGACATATTTCAAGGGCTAGAGGTTAAATAAGGTTGAAGTGACATAGCATATCTCAGAAAGCTGAGAGAGAGAAAAATTGTACTAGTGAACATGTGTTCGTCACACATTCAGGGAACTCTAAGCACAGGCTGGCTGAAGTGAAAGAAGGTTTAGGAACTCAGAGAGATGAGATAGACTGTTAGAAAGATATGTAAAGACAAGACCCTGGAAGGTTTTATGTTATGCGGTACAAGTTTGGGCTTGGTTTCATAGGTGTTGAGCCAATTAGAGGGAGGTGGCAATATCTGAAGAGGTACATTTTAGAAAGATGATTGAGGTCCCCTGGTAGAGAATGTTTTGGTCAGGGAGGTACTGTTGGGGACATAAGACAAAATGTAGGGAGACTAGTTTTGCTGAATTAATGAAGGAAAAATTGATGCCTTTCCTAGTGCCTTCTATACCCCATACCTTCCACACCATTCCCCCTGGGCTCAACACATTCATTTTTGGCTGTAACATCGTCCAGGACTTTGCCTTGGCATTTTGTCAGATACAAATCCTTTACCTGGAAGCTGGTTCATTTTTCCTACCAGTTGCTACATGATAATGCTCCTTCTGCCTTAGTATTCATTGATCTTGTAGAAGTGCTTTGTTAACGACTATAGTAATAAAGCTCCGCACGGCCATTGGTGGCTCTCGAGCAATGTGTCCTCCTGGGTTAGTGGACAATAAAGTCATCCCTGGATGCTGTATTTCTCCTGAGCTTTCAGACAGGGAAAGAAATTGCTAGCGTCTTCCTGGGCCCTGGGCGAAAGTACAGCCCATCTGGTTAGGTGGGAATGTTGACTCATGTGGATGTATATCCTTTTTGTTCTCAGATGAATATTGAAACTCTTCGGGAGAATCTTTATTTTCAGTCAAAAGAGACTCTCTCTGCGATGCTGGATGCCCTCTTGGAGCGCACAGAGGACTTTACTGATTGTGCCTATACCAGCCACGAGCACAGGGAACGCATCTTGGAACTGTCAGCTCAGGCCAGGATGGAACTGCAGCAGTTAATTTCTGTGTGGATTGAAGCTGTAAGAGCTTTATTTCATCAAAGTAAATCTTCTGTAATAGCTTTTCCCTGGAGCCCTGAGAGTTGTGGCAGGCGCCGTCACCACCAGGAGTGTGAATGTGGTCCAGAGTGGGCCAAGGGTGTCTCATTCCTTTTCTGCCCCCTACTTGGCCAAAGCATCCTTCCCATAAGCACTCACGATATTCTAGGCCTGTTGTTTCTCATCCTGGCCAGTCTGGATTCTGCCACCATCACCATCACTAGTTCACCCTGTCGTCCCCACTCTTCCACCAGACTCACCTCTGGAAAATTCCTCCCCAAAATCCTTCTTCAGAGTGAAGAGCAGAGGTTCAACCAAGCCTAGAGGTTCTTGGAACCTGAGTCTTACTGCTGGAGCCGTTCAGATGTGAACAGTTCTTAACTCTGAGGACAGCTGATTTATAGACACAAGGATTTAGAAAACGTATTGAGGTTTAGATGCAATGAAGACCAGGGTAGATCCAGCTGGCAGGTGAAAGATTTTTCACTTTCGCACAGATTCCTGGTCTCAGACTGGCGGGCAGCCCCTTTAAGAGCCTTAAACAGGCTGCTGGTGCGCTTCAAACGTGGGAGTTATTTGGGCAAGAGTGGCAAGGACTGACAGAAGTGGTACAACACAGGAGGTATGCACCCAATCTCTTCTAGAGCGTGGATTACAGATTTGAAAGGTAGAGCCCTGAGACATGTCTCTGGCACCATTTATTTATTTCTTAGGCCTAGGATATGTCAAAAAAGTATTTAACATGGTTTACAACATACAGCATGGATAGAACAAATCTGGAAATCATGGACAAAAGCTTAGGCAGTAAAGATGAAGAAGGGTGAATGTGCCTGAGAGGGTCCAGCAGTCTGCTTCCTTGTGAAGAGATTGATTTATGAATGTAGTATAAATCACAGATTTCCCTCATATTTTCTTGGCATCACAATATTGCAAATGCTCATATTAACAGGAAAACTTAACTATGGTAGAATGGTGTCAGGGATAAAAGCAGTATTTTGTGTTTAGTTTGAATTGTCTATGTGATATCTAATCTGAAGTGTAGATGGCTTCAGAATTAAATTTTAAGCCCAACATGCAATATAAAGAGTTTCTGTGAGGAAGCGCTGTCTGTGTTGGGCATCCAGTTCTATCAATACTTAAATTTGCAGTTAGCACCTTTCACATGTTTCACAAGCACTTGGATCTCTGATTCTGCATGTCAGATGTATTGTTCATTCATTCACTTTTTTAGCAGTTGTCACTGAGTACCTTTTATATGCCGGGCACCGAAAATCTAAAGATGAATAAGATAAAATCTTTGCCTGTAAGAATTTTGCAATGTAGAAAAATGTGGGAAGGTGTGAAACGAGTACAAAGTACAGATCATGTGTTGAGAGGGTTTAAAGGAGGTTGAATTTGTATTTATCTAGAGGAATCAAGAAGCTTCATGAAGAGATTGACATTTAACTGATTTATTCATTCAAAGAATTGAATACCTGCTACCTTCCATTTGCTGTGCCAGGTATTGTGCATTCAGTGGTGAGCAGAATAAATGTGATCCCAGCCTTCACAGAGCTTACCAAGGCCTAGTGAGGAAAATAGGCTTTAAATAACAACAACAACAAAAATCAAAAGTACGTATGTAATTGCAAACTAGGATGATTACTTAGAGAAAAGGTTAGGGTAAGAAGAGGGTCTAATCTAAATTGTGTGATCTAAGAAGGCCTTTCTGAGAAAGAAACATTTATGTAAGGACTTGAAGATGAATAGGGTTTTAATTTTTATCTAGGTTAAGAATGAAGAGATGAGAATTCCAGGCAGAAGGTAAAACAGATTAGTTTTAGACATGATAAATTTATTAAAGAAAATTAGATTTAAAAAATTCACCTGTTTAGAGTAGAAAAATGTAACTAAATAAAAATTCTCTTTTCCACTCTAACCATAAACAGATGAATTTAAAAAATCTACTTTTTTTTTTAACTAAACAAATTGAGTTTATTAATTAATTTATTTTTGCTGTGTTGTGTCTTCGTTTCTGTGCGAGGGCTTTCTTTAGCTGTGGCAAGCAGGGGCCACTCTTCATCACGGTGTGCAGGCCTCTCACTATCGCGGCCTCTCTTGTTGCGGAGCACAGGCTCCAGACGCGCAGGCTCAGTAGTTGTGGCTCACAGGCCTAGTTGCTCTGCGGCATGTGGAATCCTCCCAGACCGGGGCTCGAACCCGTGTCCCCTGCATTAGTAGGCAGATTCTCAACCACTGCGCCACCAGGGAAGCCCTACTTTTCTTATAGTTCACAGATGATATTAAAAATTTATTATGTTTGTAGTTTGAGTAAAATTGGAATTACAAGATGAAAAAGATAACTCTTCACATGTACTTTTAAAACTTTTTAGCAAAGAAAGAAAACAAAGAGCATCGATGAAGAACTGGAACTCGCTATATTGAAAATCAGTCACAGCCTCAATGAACTTAAGAAAGAAGTAAGTACAGTTTGAAATCTAGCCTCTTTTAATTCTTTGCAAGTTGTCGTGTTGTATGGTATATATAAAATGCCTTAGCATTAGTATGTTCCTGTGCCCAGAAAATGTTTGTAAAGTTTTCCTTTGACCTAGTTATTTTGAAGCCACTGTTTTATTAGTGCCATCATTCTCAAAGCTTGTACACAAATGTTTATAACAGCCGGAAAGTGGAAACAATCTAAATTTCCAGGGAATTCCCTGGTGGTCCAGTGGTTAGGACTTCACGCTTTCACTGCCAAGAGCGTGGGTTCAATCCCTGGTTGGGGAACTGAGATCCTGCAAGTGGTACGGTATGGTCAAATAAATAAATAAATAAATATTCATCAACAGGGGAATCAATAAATGAATTTTGGTATAACTATATCAAATGCTATTCAGCAATAAAAAAGAACACTATCGATACGGGCAATAACATGGATGAATTGCTTAAACGTTACACTGAGTGAAAGAAGTCAGACACAAAAGTGTGTGTGTGTAATTCTATTTAGAAAAAATTCTTAAAAAGGCCAAACTGATTTTTAGTGACGGAAACCAGGTCAGTGACTGCTGGGGTCAAAAGGGGGGATACTTACTACAAAGGGGCATGGGAGAACTTTTTGTGCTAATGGAAGTGTCGTAAATATTGATTATGGTGGTAGTTAACTTGGGTGTAAATGTTTGTCAAAACTCATCGAACTGTACCCTTGGTACATTTTGTTGTATATAAATTATACCTTAATAAAGTTGGTATTTTAAAATGTTCTTTTGGCTGTGAAGATTTCCCTGTTCCCTGGATGAAAACTTTACCATCTAATGACTTATTTGGTCACTCTTAGGTAATTGAAAGTCACTTTAAGTCAGGGCTTTGTGAACTACAGCCAGGCTGTTTTTATAAATAAAGTTTTTTGGGGGGACACAGTTCTGCCCATTTGAGTTGGGTAGTTGCGACTATGTGGCCTGAAAATCCCAAAATATTTACTCTCTGGCCCTCTACAGAAAATGTTCACCAATCCCTGCTTTAGGTCGTAAAACACAAACTCAGTTCAAAAATGAGAATGTTCATTCCAATATATTAATCAGTATTTTTTTTTTTTTTTTTTTTTGGTGGTACGTGGGCCTCACTGTTGTGGCCTCTCCTGTTGCGGAGCACAGGCTCCGGACGCACAGGCTCAGTGGCCATAGCTCATGGGCCCAGCCGCTCCGCGGCATGTGGGATCTTCCCGGACCGGGGCACGAACCCATGTCCCCTGCATCGGCAGGCGGACTCTCAACCACTGCGCCACCAGGGAAGCCCTATTAGTCAGTATTTTGATTCATTCAATTGTAGGGCTTTGCTCCTGTTCCCCACTCCTCTAGCCCGCCTAGGGCTTTTGGGGGAAGTGTGGTCTCTTGTCTCTCTTTCAGGCCCTTCATCTCCTATTATCTAGCTTCTGTTCCAGATCTTTGCCAGGTTGTGGCACAGGGAAAGAAGAGAGGAAGTGGGGAGTTCTTAGTGCCCGGTGCCCTTATGAGATGCACTGGGCTCGAAGATGTTTAAAGCTGACTTTCTCTGTCGTGAATACTTGAGTGCTCTTCAGAGGCTTTCCTGGTGCCTCCCCTGACCAGCCCCTTACTTTGTAACTTCTGTGCCACTTTGCTCCCTCCATTTTGGGGTGTGCCTGGGAGGGGACTCACAGCAAGCACCAGAAAGACCCTCCTCACAAAAACCTTTCTTCTCTCTTATCTCTAATTTCTTTGTTCTTTTATATTTTTTAAGAGAGTCAAGGGCTCAAGAGAATGAATTGGTTTGGGAGAGTTTCATATATAAATTATCTGGTGATGTTTCATTGACCTCTGTTGAAACCTTCATTTTAACATCCTATTAAACATTAGAAGGATATGGTCTTCTCTGGTTTAAAAAAAGCCTACTCATTTTTTCCAGCCTATTCAATTTAAACTAAACTATTGTTAAGACTGTGACTATCAGTTGAACATAAAATCTTTTGGTGATAGCCTGAGTGGCTTTCCATAAGCTTCATTTCCCTTACCTCTGAAATGGGTATAATAACATCAACCTAGAAGAATTTTTATAAGGATTAAGGGAGATAATGTCTGTAAAGCTACTTACACTACCTTGCACAGAGCAGGAATTTCATGTTTATTCACCCTTCTTGCCTTGGAGTTTGTAAGTAGTCTCCAGAACCATTTGTAAGATTTACGGGACCTTGAACAAGTCACTCAGTCTCTAGGGACCTGTTTCATAGTTTGTAAAATAAAAGACTGGCATTAGCTATTTTCTATGACCCTGATGGTTAAACAAAATCTTTTGAATTCTCATGTGCATTTAATTTCCAAAGGAAAATGCATTTTAATGTCTTTGTTTCTGATTGTAATTATTCTCACTTGATTTGGTGAATGTGGACTACCCTATTGTTAATTTTGTACAAAGTCCTGCAATTTGAATGGACATTGGATTACTTCCAGGAAAAAAAGAATCACTTCATTCAAATAGGCTTAATTAAAAATCAGATTTTCCTTAGGACAATGTTATTAAAAATGATCTCTTTCTGGTGAACCCCAAAATAACCTGTCATAACATTTTTTTAAAAAGGCAGGATAAGGAGAAGAAAAGATTTTGGAGTTAAATAGTATGCAAAGATGTTCAGTGAGAGTGAGCAATACTTAAAATCCATTCCACCTAAAGTTAAATAAAACCTTGAGGTTTTCATTATCCTTTTATCCATCATTTCTCCTGTGACCCAAGAGTTAGACAGAAAAGCTGTAGATAGCAATATAAACTGAGCCCCCGAGGGAAGGGGTTGTGTCCTACTTGTCATGTATGTCCAGCCTCTAGTTCAGTTCCTGTGATAATGTAGGTATTTAATAAAATTTGTTGAATATATATTTTATATATACATATATATATATATATATATATACACACCCTTCAGCAGATCAAGTGGGACTGATATGAGGTTGCTACTCTTTAGTTTTTAAAGTACTCATGAGGTTTTTGGTCACAAAACCTTATTGTTTGTTGTCTTTTTTTCATTACCCTTCACTCCCCACATCTGCAGCTTCATAGTACAGCAGTTCAGCTGGCAGCAGATCTGGTAAAATACCACGCTGATCATGTGGTTCTCAAAGCATTAAAACTTACTGGAGTAGAAGGAAATTTAGAAGGTTTGGCTGAATATGCCTGCAAACTCTCTGAACAGAAAGAGCGGCTTGTTGAGGTGAGCAATAGGTTGCTTGTTAAAGAAACTGTAGTTTAATGAAAGCTGTACTATCATCAAGTAATATTAACACAAATACAGTTTTTGGTTTACTCATAAGAGGGTTTTCTCTCTTGCCTTTGGAATTTTAAAAATATCATGTTTATCTGTTCTTAAAACAATTTGTCCTCTAAAACAAAACAATAAAAAATGCTAGAACCCACAAATGCCCTTCTTAACCTCCTTCCTTATTCCATCAAAGAGATTAGATCTTGGAGTAGAGCAGTGGAGATACATCGTATGACCCTGTTTGTATTTGAATCTTTTGAGTCTCAGCAGGAAAGAGATGGCACGTTCAAATTAGGTTAATCTTAAGAGGGTTTAACAAAGGAGCCATTTACAATTGCATGGATAGGATGTGGGGAAACCATGAGAGTACAGGAATTGGGGTTAGTGACAGCAGAGCTGGTACTACTCCTACAACCAAATTAACGGGGGGAGTGAGTGGTTTCTGGAAACTGGAAGGGCACAGAGTCCTTCAGAGAGCCTTGAGTAGTTGTGGTTTCAGGACTAGACACAGAGACAGCTCACGGCAGCCTGCAGGGAAAGAGCATGAGAATAAAGGCCCTTACCCTCCAAATCCCTGCTGCTGTATTGCTGGGGCTTCCCATTGGCCAAACAGCTGTAGACCACATAGGTCAGTCTCCCAAGAAGGAAAAAGAGTGGATATGGAGGGACAAAGAGAAGACATCCAGCACAGTATTCCTTCTCGGAATCTCTCCTGTTGTGCCCAAATCTTTGTTATGTGTTACTGATGCATAACCTGCCCCTTTTGTTATAATTCCAATTATTGATTGATATTGTAAGCCTTCTACCTATTGAGAATGTCAGACATCTGCTAGTAAAGAAATGTATACTCAACCCATGTGCACGTGAAGAATATATCCCCTTGTATATATGAGGTACGTCCCAGCCAACATGTATATTAATGCACAGATATGAACCATCTAGCTGTGTTCATATTATCTAATGTCCCATGCTCACTGAATCTCACATACTAATGGTTAGAAGGAACTTTTAGACTAAGCTTGGCTTCCTCTCCTTTATTTGTTTACATCTGAAAACTACTAGGGAGCATTCTTAAAATGACTGTGGATACATCTCCTTTTAAAGTAGATCTGATGCTGTTTTGTTTATAAGTCAAGCATTGTGACTGCAGGCACACTTGCTAATTATAGGAATCCTGCAGCAAATCTTTTTAAAAAGTGAAAAAAAAATTTTTTTCCCCAATTTTCTGTATTAAGCCTCAAGAAATTATTGAAAAATTATTTTCAAAAATTTTCACTGATACAGGCTCTTTACTCATTCTATCAGTCTTGCCTAATCCAGTGTTATCTCCAGTAAAAGGTGTGTTAATTGACAGGGAGAAGTGTTATTTGTTGGCAGAAAGAATGTGTAGCTTGTGGTAACTGACATAGTTTAGCTGAGAGACCTTGGATAAGTCCTTCTCTGAGCCACGTTTCCTCATACGTGAAATCTGTGGGCACTGCAAGGTCCTTTCAGGATTCCTCTTGATTCTAATATTCTGTGACCACCTTGCCATGATCAGATAGGAAGTAGAAACAGTAGGGTATATGCTAATAAACCCGTATTTGTTCCTGCTTTGCTCCTAGAGAATCCGTTGGTAACCAATGCAATATTATAATAAGCTTATTAATGTACAGATTTATTTTTATAGGTTTTAATGTTTTATTTTCTTTGTTAATTATAAAATGATGCTATGTATTGTGAAGAATGAGAATGTTGAACTGTAGAAATGGTTTTTTGTAGACCTGTCGATTGTTGAGACATGTGTCTGGGACAGAACCTCTTGAAATAACCTGTATACATGCAGAGGAGACATTTCAGGTGACTGGCCAGCAGGTATGATCAACAGCAGATCGTTCCTTCCATATTATGTTTTATCTGAGTGTCATAACAAATTGTGCACAAGGAAGACACAAATGGTTTTGCATAACTACGGGCCAAATCTACTGAGCGAAATGAAGGTAATGGAATTTTTGTTGGTAGTGTGCCAGAACATTCCATTGGATTATCTGGTCATCTGGCAAATTAGAGATTGGCCCATTTAATTGATGCCCTAGTTTATATCTATTTAATTGAAGCCGTTTACAATACAGGTCGTTATAACATGTTTGAAAACTAAGTTATCATTATGTGATAAGCCATAAAAATACTCACATGTTTTGACCCAATAATTCCTAAGGACATAAGGAGATGAAAAGAAAAATAAAAATAATACTTGTTACATTACTTATAATAAGATTCAGTTGGAAGCAAAGTAACAATCTTAAGTTAGGTAAATAATATAGTATGATGTTATAGTAATAATTTTGATAACTAGAATTAGCAACATCAAAAAATGTTTCATTAAAATGTTAGGTGACAAAAGCAGGATACAGATTTGTTTATATGCTATAATTGCTACTATATAAAATGTACATATATAAGAAAATGACTATAAGAATGTGCAGAAATGAAAGTTCTGCTTGTTAGGGAGAACTGTGAGTTATTTTTTCTGAATTCTCTATAATATTACTTCGTTTTTATAATTTTCAAAAGCATTTTAACAATTGATATCGTATTTAATACTGTCTGTCAAATTAAGGGAAAAAGGGAGGGACAGAAGTTCCTTTCCCTTTTAGGTCTAAGCTCTGAAATACAATTTACCAGGTGTATTTGTTTTATTCATCATGGCAGCCAAAAGGACTTACTCCTTATTGCATTATTGGATGGTAGATGTCGAGCTCCTGGATTTATAGTTGAGAACAGCAAAAGCAACTTAGAGACAAAGGTGGTGTGTGCCCTCTAGCAGACCCAAGCTGGATGCTGGAAGGATGTTTATACTCCCCGTGGAGAACAGTATCAAAAGCTTCTCACGGAAGCAGGAACTATCTGAGTGACCCTCAGCAGTGACCATCGGCTGAGCATTTTATTATAACCAGAGGATCTCTGTTTATTGGGAGAAACCAAGGCTTCAATATTTACTTGTCCATTTGGGAGTCATACTACTTGCCTTGGCCATAAATGTATTTCAGTAGAGCTAAAGTTTGACTCTCCTGCCATATACAATCAGCTCTTGTTATCCTCAGGCCCTGCTTGCTATATCCTCAGGCCCTACTTGCTATTTGGTTGTAATTCTCTGCTTACTGTTTTCATTGCAGCAGGGATATTAGGAAAAGTATATTTTCTTTTCCAGGATGGTGATAGATAGAGCCTGCTGTCAATTTCTGTAACTTGAGAAGCTTTTTCTATTCCCATAGCTTCAGCTTTTATTCCTAGTCTTGACTGTCTGTCTCACAAAGGGATAATTTAAGAAAACAGAGCATGCCTCTAGGAGAATTTATATTACTTCTGGACACCTCTGCTTTAGCAATGTCATTTTTATATTTCCTTTACAATGTTACAGCATATCCAGGGCACAGTGGAACAGTTTCCACACTGTACAGTGGCTCCTGGTTGAGAAGGTGATACTGCTGCATCTAGCTTGTAGTCCATGGCGAGCCATTTGCCCACCTTCCCTGAAGATGGGGAACCTTGTTCTACTCTGAAAGCTGCCACCTGCTTGTCAAGCCTGTGCCTGTGGGACTATGCCCACCCAGGAGGAGCGCCTAGGTCTAATTCTCTCGAAGGCAGCCTGACTCTGACCATAGCAGTTTCTTTTCTTTATTTTTAAATTGAAGTATAGTTGATTTACAATGTTGTGTTAGTTTTCTAGCGTACAGCAAAGTGATTCCGTTTATATATATATATATATATATATATATATATATATATATATATATTTATTTAGTTTTTCTTTCTCGTATTCTTTTCCATTACATATCAGTTTCTGAAACCTCTTCAGTGACTTCCTATCTCACTCAGAGTAAAGTCCATCTTTACTGTGCGTGTTTCTCCATCACGTGGCCATTGGTGACCTTCCTTTTTTTTGATGTCAGTCCAGTCACACTGACCTACTGGCTGTTGTTAAAATGTATCAGAAATGTTCCCGCCTTATTCCCAAATGACTTTCCCTAGGTTTCCCTGTGACTCCCTCACCTTCTTCAGTTCTTTGCTTACATGCCACCTTTGCAAGTGACCACCTAACTTAAAATACTGTGACTGCCTAACACCCTCCATCCTCCTTACCCTTTGTTTTTGTACATATCGTTCATCATCTAAGATATTTCATAATTTACTTACATGTTTTTAATTACCTGTCTCCCCACATTATAATATGAGCCCCATGAAGAGAGGAACATTTATTTGTTTCGAATGAAACAACTGTTTCCCCAGCACCTGGAACATGGGTACAGTGCTAGGCATACAGCAGGTGAATGAAGAGTCATATATTAGTTACTTGGTACCTTTGAGTCTCAGTTTCTCTAGCTGTAAAATGGGAACACTGCTTATTGAGAAGGATAGTATTTTGTTTGTGTTTTTGAGGATTAATACTAATGTATATCAAGCACCTATCACAGTACCTCAAGGATATATCTACCATGTCCTCACAGGTGTATGTGTATGTTACTACTACTACCACTACTACCACCACCACTACCACTACCAGTACTAATACTGATTCTGCTACCTCTACAACTACTACTGCCACTACTACCAGTACCAGTACTAATACCAATACTGCTACTACCATCACTACTACTATCATCACTATGACTACTGCTACCACCACTACTGCCACCATTACTACCACTGTTACTAATACTACCACTACTACACCATCTCTTCTGCAGTATACAGTACACTCTTTGTAGTCAGAGTATAACTCTGAATTATGCTATGGAAATAACTTTGTTGAAACAGAACTTTCCTTGAATAAAGATAATTGCTCCCTGAATAAAGGCTTATATATAATAGTGCCTACTATTTATCTATAGATAAGATTATAAGAAACAGGAAGTTTTGTATGTCCATACTGCCCAACATGGGGCTTATGTGTGGAAATTGCTTTGTAGTTGTGTTATTGAGTGATATGAACAGTACAGGCTTAAGTTTGATTTCCAGTATGATTCTGAGAGGTAAGATTTTGAAACTCACACCTGTGTATATTGTTTCTTTAGATAATTTCTGCTGCTGAAACTTTGACATTGCATCCATCTAGTAAAATTGCTAAAGAAAATCTAGATGTATTCTGTGAAGCCTGGGAATCCCAAATTAGTGACATGTTAACACTGCTGAGAGAAATCAATGATGTGTTTGAAGGAAGACGAGGTGAGAAACTGTCTATATATTGAAATATGTTAGTATTTTAATGTAACTATTAGTTTTTTAATGTCAAACCTCAGATGCAAAATGAATAACTTGTTATAACCCAACTGGGTTATTTTTATAGTAAAGTATCTTCCACAAAAAATTATAAAAATATTATTTGTCCTTCGTTTTAGTATCAAAGCAATAAAATTTGTTGTACAACAGTATAGTAGATTCCTTTGAATGAATATTAACAATCTAGTTTTCTTATTGAAATTGTTATTTTTATATTTCTTATAAATTGTTTTTTAGTTTTAGTACAAATGCTCTTCTGTAATACAATAATTCTCTGATGTAATTCTACTAACTTCATAATGAAATGAATGTAGTTATTTGATTTTCGAATTGCTTTCCTTCCACTTGGATGGAATCTCTTTCCTTGATGACTACGTAATCTTGGAATATTTCCTTTGGTGGGTAAGTTCATTGGTATTTCTACAACATGTAGAATAGCACCATACAGTGTACAGAAGGCATAATTTTTACTCTTTATTTTAACATCAACTTGGAGTTTTGTTTATTTCCCATTGTACTGTGTATCCAGTTATCTATGTTCATGTGTTTTTATGTATTTCCTTTCTAATGGCTTCTGTTAGTGTCAAGCATGTTTGTTTTTTAAATTAAGATGTCATTTAAAGCCATAATAACATCAAATTACATATTTATTTTTACTGATTATGAACATCTAAACATTTCATTTTTTAAAAAACACCCATTTAGGGTAATTGCTGATTTGCTTAAAAATCAGGGAATGGTAGACTTTGTAGATATTACATAATTTGTAATGTGTAATAAATGCTTACCATGCTTCTGCATTTAAAGATTTCTGTGATAGCTAGTCTGAATGGCATATCATTTTGATGCTTTGATAAAGTACTTACAGCTGCATGTTTTTTTATTTTATAAATTTATTTATTTACTTTTGGCTGTGTTGGGTCTTCGTTGCTGTGCGCGGGTTTTCTCTAGTTGCGGCTAGCGGGGGCCACTCTTCATTGCGGTGCGCGGGCTTCTCATTGCCGTGGCTTCTCTTGTTGCGGAGCACGGGCTCTAGGTGCGCACGCTTCAGTAGTTGTGGCACAGGCTCAGTGGTTGTGGCTCGTGGGCTTTAGAGTGCCGGCTCAGTAGTTGTGGCGCACAGGCTTAGTTGCTCCGCGGCATGTGGGATCTTCCCGGACCAGGGATCAAACCCATCTCCCCTGCATTGGCAGGCGGATTCTTAACCACTGCACCACCAGGGAAGCCCCGCTGCATGGGTTTTTATGTGAGGCAAGTTTTATATATTAAAAGGTAAATTGATGTAATTGATCTATATTTAAAGAAGAATGATCACTTTGCCATAAGACTTGTTTAAGAAATGAAGAGAAGAAGCTTCCTGGTCTTTCTGAGCGCTAGACTAGCGTCCCCTACAGATAGACCAGAATTGAAACAGGAAAATCCTATACTTATTTTTGGCCTGTGTGGTCACTGTGGTTTCTTTTACTTTCAAACTGGATATTATGTAAATGATCTCTTCTTTAGGTTTGAGTAACCTGTCCCCCACAAATCAGGGTTATCTTAACTTCCTAAGTGCTGAACAGAAGTTCCTCTTTAGGTGGGACACTGCTGCCTTTGATCAATGGGACACCCATTGTTTAACTGGTAGTATCTTGCTGTTCAGAGGCATCCTTACTTATGTGGGGTTAATTGAGATAGAGTTGCTTAATTTCTTTTTTTTGTTTTTTTTTTTTTTCCTGACTGTCATCATGAAGCTCATAAGAATAGCTTTTCCGCCAAGAAGCCCAACTCTGAGTCAGCCACCGTTGACTGAACTGAGTCCAGTGGCACAGTGCTGCTCTTCCTGTTCTGTATGGTTATTAGGACGGGGCTGCCTGTTTCCTCGCACCTGCCCACTGCAAAGGACAGAGTGTATTCTTCAGATTCTGGTTTCTCTTTGCTACTGGTATAACTAGTATTATAACTGTTACTGGAAAACCTTTGCTCTATTTTAGCCACTTTAGTTCTGCTCTGCATATCTTGACTCTCCTGACTAGGAAACTTAGATACGTTTGCAAGTATCAGTTAGCCAAACAATTAAGTAGCAAACAACATGCTAAGCAGTGAAAAAGAGCAGTGTTCGCATATTTGAAGTCCGTCTGAGAGCTAGGTTATTGTCCCCTTACCCGGAGACCCTTCGATTTCATAATAGAGCCTCCTGGGATTGTTTAAAGAACTCAAAAATCAATATTTGTCTTCCTCCCTTTCTGCCTTCATCCAGTTCTGCCTTCAGGGAGGCCATGGCCTTTGTATTAGAAGGGACCTAGATCAAAAAGACTCCACCTTTCCTTAGTGACAAGTATGTATCAACATTTAGAATTTGAGATTATCTTAGACAAATAAACGTCAAAAAGAAGCTTTCTCTCATAGCCTGCAGATTCTATCCCTTATTTAAGGAAGCTGAATTTCCTTTGTTATATTTGCACCATCTTGAAGTTAATCGGACTAAGCTTCAGTTTATAGGGACGTACCAGGTTCCATAGCTCTGCACCTACTTTATTGCTTGGCAGACTGGACGCATGAGGTGCTGTTCACTGAAATGGGGTGAACAGGAAGAGGAACATGCTTGTGGATAAACATGAGCTTACTTGGGGGATGTATGAGTCGGGAACAAGGGAGTGATCCATCCAGACAAGAGATGATGGGGCCATGATAGTAGTGGAAATGAAGATAAGAGGACTGATTTAAGAATTTTATAAGTAATATTAGTATGATTTGATGATTAATTGAATGTAGAGGTAAGGGAGAGTTTGAGGATAACAACCGGGTTTGGTCTAATCCAAATTCGAAAATACCCCAGTCCTACTCCTGAGGTTAGTTAATAATCTGCCTAGCCTTTAGTGGTTAGGGATTCATTTTAAGTGGGTCTGGGGACATGAATCTTTTTCTGATGGATCATGCCATATAAAGCCCCTTTCAGAACCAAAAAAGCTAATTATAAGAACTTCTAATGAGGCATAATATTGCACACCTTCAGTGAAATAATGAGGCTTTCCTGTCCTTGGGGGATTAGCTTTATTTGGTAGAGATGCAGAAAAGCTCTGGATATTGAAAATGGACAGCAGTTAGGTTGTCATGAGATTATTTTGCTATCCTCATGGGCTGAGAGGGCCTTTGAACTTAATTCTGGACTTAATTTATCTGGAGGTGTAAACTCAGAAGTAAAGATGGCACAAGTGTCATGTTGATTTAGGGAGTATTAAACAAAGGATTTAGGGAGTATTAAACTTATAATACCCCTGTGAAGACAGTGCTTCAAAAACAATTCTGTACGTCAAAGTCTGTACCAAATATTTTTTTTTCATGTTTTCCAACCAAATTACAATTTTATTTCTCAGTCACATGTAATTAATAGACTAAATTATCAAAACTAATGTGCTAACATTTCTGTTTATTTAATAATATTTTAAAAATTAAATGTGAATAGTAGAAAATTTGTTTTAAGTTATATATGTTATTTGTAGGAGAGAAGTATGGCTACCTTTCACTTCCAAAGCCAATGGTAAGTAGAAAACCTTTGTATTTGTACTCTTGAGAATGTTTTTATTCAGAATTCAAATTATGCTCTTGTTGCCTATTGCTCCCCCCACAACTTCCAGTGATTGACATGACAAAAAAAAAGTTAGGATATTAAATGTTGACTGTTCAGAATTGTTATTCTGAGTAGCAGTCTAGATGTAGCCCACAGTTTGGTTATTTGTGTTAGATTTGAGGGATTGAGGGAATACGTAACAGATCTTATGATTAATAAGAAGCTGTAATCTGAAGTCAGAGGTCTTTTTGTTCTTCATATCTTGGGTCTAATTCACAAGGTCATGTTGGAATAATTTTGTGCAAACTAATAACTTTCTTAATTTTCTTGATGAAAATAAACCATTCTGTTTAGAGGCTTGAAATGCTTTATTTATTAGCTTTACACAGTTGAAGCTGATGCATCTTGGCTGCATTGCAAAATAGTGCCCACTAGATGGCAGGCTTGGTTACATTATTAAGATGGTTTCTGTACCTTTTCAGGCAATTCCCTTTTGGTCTTCATTAAACACTTTGATAATAATAATTTGTAAAAGTAAAAATAACGAAAACACAACTAAATTTAAAAGAATAAGATGGGGTTGTAAGATTCTAAATAAAATAAAACCTAAAAACCTCTAGGGTATTCTTAACTTTCTTAAATGCTTTATAAGTTGCTTTGTGCTAGACTAAGGAAGAAGATGCAGATGATGTGACTATACAAGGAGGGGCCGAAGAGATCATTGGTCATCTCTGTTTATTTTCTAATGAACCTAAGAGGCAGCCTGTGTGTGTGTGTGTGTCCATGCCTCTTTATAGATTCCCTGTATTTATTTTCTGTCCTTTACCTTCTCCTATTTCTTCTATAGTAAACAGGATTAGAAAATTTCAAAAGGGCAATGTTAAATGAACAAATATAAACGATGGGATAGAAAAACGAGAAAAAGTTGCGGCTCTTCTATTCTGCAGTTAAATTGGTGACAGAATAGCTGGTCAGAAGCAATAAGTCATGGTAATAATAAGGGAAACAAAAAACGGAGAAGTACACATATACCTCAAAGCTATTATCTTCTTAAGCTAAGTGGGCACATGCGTGTTTTGTTTTATCATAATCTGTATTTTGTGTACATGTGTGTGAATATATACTCTGTGGGGTGTGTGTGTGTGTGTGTGTGTGTGTGCATGTGTGTGTGTGGATGGTTTAAATAAATGTTTCCTTTAAAAAAATAAATGGCTCCCTGCATCTCCTGGCCCTACTAGCCCAGCTGTTCTGGAACTCCTGCCCCAGGTAGGGGAGTTCCCACCAGATCTCAGAATGAGAGGAATGCCGCCCAACTTGGGCTGCCATCTCCAGAGAACTTCTGGATATATTTTTCAAAGAAACATTGCTATTGGTAGTTGTTTCTACAAGTAAGTAAGCATCTGTGGGCCAGTCTGGTAACCTAACCAGTGTACAAAGTTTTCTTCTCCCCTAGGGGAAATATATTCTGATTTCTAAATAGCCTACGTAGAAAGAAACTTGCTGTTTCAAATATAGGGGCCATCAAACATGCTGGTTCAAATATTAAATCGTAAATTCTAAGTATAATCTCCTATATAACCTGGCATATAGGATTAGGAATCTGGATGTCAGTGAAACTAGGGTGCTGAAATTTAGCCCTCAAAAAGGCATACTTGTTAAAGGAATTGAATTCCAGAGTCATAACATTAGGAATATATTGAAAGCTACATATAGTGATTAATTTTATTACATCATTTCCTAAGAATAATTTAACAGAGGGGCCAGGGAGGTTTGGGGGTGTAATAATTGGACTATGAAAAGACTGCAGAAGTCTTTAAGTGTTTCTGGGACACAGATCTGCTTTTCCTAACTCCAGATTTCTAACTAACTACTTCTTCAAAGCTGAACGCACGTATTAGTAGAGTATTTGCAATTACAGTTGACCCTTGAACAGCATGGGTTTGAACTTTGGGGTCCACTCTTTTGTGCATTTTTTTCAGTAGTACATACTACAGTGCTACACCATCTGGGGTTGGTTGAATCCGCAGATGCAGAACCACAGACACAGGGGAACTGCAGATACGGAGGGCTGACTGTAAGTTAGATTTTCGGCTGCGGGCGGAGAGTCAATGCCCTTAAGCCCCACATTGTTCAAGGGTCAACTGTAGTTGTTTGTTTTTACTTAAACAGTTCAATATAGTTTCAGTATGTTCTGAAAATTTTTATGTTAAAATTTTATTACAGGTACTTTGTTATGCTTTCTATGACTATTGCATTTCTTCACAATTAACTCTACCTGTTTTTAAGATGCCCTAATCTTTTTCTTGTCACAGAAGAATAACGCAAACCTGAAATCATTAAAGCCAGACAAGCCTGACTCTGAGGCAAGACCTTTTTCTTTGCAGTAGTCTTACTTTTAATCTTCCTTTTACGTAATGACTACATTGTTGTGATTAAAATGTATGTTTTGTAGGAGCAAGCCAAGATAGCAAAGCTTGGACTCAAGCTGGGTTTGCTCACCTCTGATGCCAACTGTGAGATTGAGAAGTGGGAGGATCAGGAGAACGAGGTTGTTCGATACGGACGGAACATGTCCAGTATGGCCTATTCTCTGTATTTATTTACTAGGTAAGTGTAGTTACATCTTAATCTTTTAAAATGAATTTAATGATATCTGGTGTAAAGAAAAAGTGCCATGTTACATTGATAGGTTAAAGTCGGTTTCAAATATATGATAAAAAGCCTATAAGTAGTTCTTAGGACAATTAAGTGAATGCAACAAGAAGACATTCACTTAACTAGGATTTAGATTTAGAAGAGATCCTTTTCTAGGTTTGTGTACGGTTCCTTCCATAATTTTGAAATAATTTTGCTTTCTGCTTTTTGGCATCCCATATATCAGTGTCTCTCCCAGCCAGCATCAGTAAGTTTAGAAAACATGCCTTTTATATATACACTACCAAATGTAAAATAGATAGCTAGTGGGAAGCAGCCTCATAGCACAGGGAGATGAGCTCGGTGCTTTGTGTCCACCTAGAGGGGTGGGATAGGGAGGGTGGGAGGGGGAGGTGCAAGAGGGAGGGGACATGGGGATATATGTTTACGTATAGCTGATTCACTTTGTTATACAGCAGAAACTAACACACATTGTAAAGCAATTATACTCCAATAAAGACATAAAAAAGAAAACAAAACATGCCTTTTAAATCTTTACACAGTGACGGATTATATACAGATCAAAGAAAAGAGCCATGATGTCTACCACCTCAATAGGGTGCCAAACCTCCATGGATCAGTATTCATTATATAGCAGAGAATTTCCCTAACTTTACATTTACCTGACCTACATTCTCTGTCTTGTTCACCTTACAAGACTGTTGGTCAAACGCCTCAATGAAGTCCATGTCGCTCACATTTGTCTTCCATTATAATAATGGAAGACTATACATATGGTACAGTATTTCCATGTTGCTAAAAATTTTATCTGTTTTCTGCTCAATGACCTGTTCTAGAATTTTCTCAAGGAATAACTTTGAGCTTTTGGTTTTCTGATATCTATCTTTTTCATTTTTAGAAACTAGAAGATATTTGATATCTTCAGTGTTATGGCTTCTCTCCTACTCATTTTGATTTTGAAATTATAACCAGCAGTCGTTCACATCTGCATATTATTTCAGTAATCTGGAATGTAATCCATTTGGACTGGAGTCTTAAGCTCAGTTAAAGTAATTGGGATCTCTACAACTGTGTGGGCTTTTGGGCTCAATAAATAGCCCCTTTTCCCCACCAAAGTTCTGAACAAAATGAAAAAATAAGCAAAAGAATAGGCAGATGGGTCCAGTAACATTTATACTGATAAAGCTGATACTCAATGAGGTTTATAGCCATAGGCAAGTAGGCTTTTAAAAATAATCCCTAGAATTAAGAAATCTTACCCTGTAGGGGAAGAATGTATCTCTTAAAATACTTGGCAGACTAGGTATATCCCAAAGGCACCCTTACTACGAAGAGAAAAAGGAGAAAAGAAAGGGCTACCATGTCTAATTTATTTTCATTTTCACAAAGTCACCAAAAAGACTGAAAAGATCAATAAATGTCCACCCTCTTCTATGGGGTGAAATAAGTGAGAGAGCAGAGTGAAGTGAGGGATGCTGTGCTAGTGAAGATTCCTTCATATGGAAGGAAGATTAGGAGTGAGGAAGAAGCATTCATTCTTGTCTTGATGATGTCTTCTACCTTTTCAAGGGAAATGATTCCTCTGGAGGGTGAAGGAGAAATGATAGTTGAATAATTTTGCCTCTGGTTAGCAGTCATTTGTTAATATCTTTCCATATTTGCCATCATTGGAGACCTTTCCCGCCCCCCCCTTTGGTGGTTTCCTTCCTTTGTTCTTAATTCTTTTTTTTTTTTTTTTTTTGTACGCGGACCTCTCAATGTTGTGGCCTCTCCCGTTGCGGAGCACAGGCTCCGGACGCGCAGGCTCAGCGGCCATGGCTCACGCGCCCAGCCGCTCCGCGGCATGTAGGATCTTCCGGCACCGGGGCACGAACCGGCGTCCCCTGCATCGGCTGGCGGACTCTCAACCACTGCGCCACCAGGGAAACCCTGTTCTTAATTCTTAGCAAGCTTCTCTGGGATTGAGTTTTCCCAAAACTAATTTTGACCTCCTTTCTTGGTTCATATCATTTAAAAATCGGATGAGTCAAGTCTGCAAAAGGAAGTAAAATGGAATTCCTTTGTTTACCCACACTCAGTGTGTGGGTAACTGAAATGTGAAGATTAAACTGTAGAAACAAAGATCTTTCATTTGAGATGGAATCATGCTAATTATCTCATGGTGATAAAAATCAGATTAAAAAAATTTTTTTGACCAATAGAAACTCAAGAAATAAATTATTACTTACTAAATGTAGTTTGGTATATAAAATCTTCCCACATAAAGGATTCATCAATAGAAAATTTTTTAAGTTTGTGATTGCCCCTTTTGTTTCTTGTTTCTTATTTCAGAATATTTCAGGATTATATATGGTCAGCAATTTTTATTTCTGAATCAGAATAGTGGATTTTGGTCAGGGGTGACATGCATCCCACAGAGACTAGGAAGCATGAGGAATAGGGGTAACTAAAGCTCTATGGAATGGGACTTGTTACTGGAATATGGTTATTGGACAGGAGCCACTGAAGTTCAGGAAAAGAAAATGGATTTTCTGTAATGGATAACACCTTGTGCCAGTTTGGCGAGTGCTGGTAATATGATTGTGGTAAAATCTTAAGCTGGCTTTGTCTTCTACCCACCCTGTCGGTGTACCTGTTTTTCCCCAATTTTTCTGTTTTCCCTTAAGATGATGGTTTACCAGCCTCATCTAATTGCTTCTTTCTGAGACTCATCTGTTAGTCTTCACAGTATCCAATTTTGTAGTTTTCTTGGGCAATTTTATAGCTTTTCTTCAGGCTGTCATGTAAGGTTGTCTTAACAATTTATATAATTTCTTTATCATTTATATACAGTTACTCATATTTCTTTAAAATTTATATATTTTAGCTTTTCTAGTACATTATGGTTTTTAAAAATTTCACACTTACCAGTGCCTTATGGTTTTTAAATTAGCTTCTGCGTCATAATTTCATTTGATCCTTACAACAGTTTATCAGAGAATAAGAATGTTTCGTTCATATCTCATAGCTATTAAAAGGCAGAACTGGTAAACCAGATTTCAGATCTTCTGATTCATGCCTGGGCTGTTGCTCATCTTAATGCATTCTGTTGCTCTTTGTTATAATTTACTTTTTACTTGTAAAGGCCTGAATTCTTCTTGATAGTTTTCAATATGATACTCTCTAATCTTCTGATGAGAGTGGTAGCACAAATATTGCTATGACTATTTTATAGACTCAGAATTGAAACTTAACTGACAGCCTCATCAGAAACAACTGAATTCCTGCCAGAGTTGAAATTAGAATCAAAAATGAGAATGTCCTGATTTTGGTCTGACCTTTTTTCCATTATGGAACAAAGGTCTTTTAGTTAAGGCATATTATCAGCTCTCATATCTTTAACTTATGAAGCAAAATGAAGAAGCTTAAAAAAGAAAAATAAAACTTAAATATAACTTCTCAGTTTTAAGTTTCTTTACATTATAAAATTAACATATATAATGTTTACCAATTTTTTAAAAAGTGCCTTAAGAGGTAATAGTTAAATGTTAAAGCTGCTTTAAGAATAGTTACAATATTATTAGTCTATTCAATATTATTCTTCAAAATTTGGGATCTGTTAATACACAAAATGCTCTAAAACTTTAATATAAAATCAGTTTCCAGGCAGTAACTTTTTCTTACCTCCTTAATAATTCACTTTATTTCAGGGGAGAGGGGCCAATAAAAACTTCCCAGGATTTAATTCATCAACTAGAGGTATGTTTTATTTCCATTTTATGCTAATACTTTATTTTTATTACTATTATTATTAGTTTGGCTGTGCCATGCAGCCCGAGGGATCTTATTAGTTCCCTGACCAGGAATCAAACCCAGGGCCCTGGCAGTGACAGTGCCGAGTGCTAACCACTGGACCGCCAGGGAGTTCCCCTATGCTGATACTTTAATTCTGGGCTAAAAGTTCGTGATAGCTAGTTTTCTTAATGATTTACTGCATCATGTTTGTAGGTTTACCTACGTACACAGCACATGTGTACTGTAGAGAGTGGTAGAAAAGTAGAGGACTGCAGTAGCATCTTGTGGAGCTGTTTTGGTTATCTTAGTGGAAAAAAACTTAAATATTATAGGGGTAAAGTAGAATGGGCTTTGATAGTCACTAGATGCAATATTAAGTTTTAGGTTTTCCCAAGTAGGTGAAAATATCCTGTCAGCAGATGCATATCTTATACTGTCCTGAATGCGAGGAAAGGTTTTTGGCTTCTTCTTTATTGAATTGGATGAATGATATTGATTAAATGAGATAACACATAAGAAAGCATCTGTCATGGGGCTGAGACCATTATAGCTTCTCAGTACATGTTAGTTTCCTTTTCTTCCTCCATATTCCTGATGATTTAGGGCATTCAGGGAGAGACACATATACTGACACTCACCCTTCTGCCCTGTGTGTCTCATGAAACTCCA